CAGGAATAGGTCCGGTCGCCTTTGTTCGTGTCAGCGCAAATCCAGAATTTTGAGAGAGACCGTACATCGATAGCCTGCGCGAGCGTTTTCGCGAGGGGCGTCGAATAGCGTTCTGCAGAGGTAGATGACCATCTTCGGATCAAGTAGCATAATCTTGTGCCATTTTTGGGACGAGCGAGAGTACGACTCAGAGCGCGGTGGGTGAAGTTGGTGGCTGCGAGCATGATGGCGACGAGTTGTGGTGTTTGGTGGAAGCTCCGACGCTCCGACTCATGACGTCCAAAGCTCAAGCTCCTGCTCGACTTTCCCGCTCGCCGCACCACCTCCGAACTCCGAACACTGACTACCCCACCCGGCTCCACAGCCCACCCATCGCAACAATGGCCAGCAAATCACGTTGGGCAGATGACGAAGAAGACGCAGAATTGGAGGCACGACGCAAACGCGAAAAGGAGGAGAAGAAACGCGCCAAAGCCGAGAAACAACGCAAGCTCGAGGAAGCCGCTCGTGCTGCGGAAGAACGCAAGAAGGCCGAAGTCGAAGCCGCCGCACGCGAACAAGATGACCGACCAGCTAAACGCAGAAAGCTGTCGTCTACGCCAGAGGAACCACAGGATGCCAAAGATCAACCACGGAGGCTGCTCAGGTTTGCGGCGCCCGAGTGGGGACCGTGCCGCCGAGTGGACAATTTTGAGAGACTGAACCACATTGAGGAAGGGTCATATGGATGGGTTTCGCGTGCAAAGGAGACCGCAACGGGAGAGATCGTGGCGCTCAAAAAGTTGAAAATGGAAAACCTCAATGATGGATTCCCCGTCACGGCGCTGCGCGAGATTCAATGCCTCAAGGAGTCGCGGCACCGGCACGTTGTCGATTTGCGGGAAGTGGTCGTCGGGGACACCCTGAATGATGTCTTTCTGGTCATGGAATTCTTGGAGCACGATCTCAAGACGCTGCAGGAGGAGATGCCAGAGCCGTTTCTTCCGTCGGAGATCAAGACATTGATGCTGCAACTGACCAGCGCCGTCGGCTATCTGCATGATCACTGGATACTACATCGAGATTTGAAGACGTCAAACATCCTCATGAACAATCGGGGCGAGATCAAGATTGCCGACTTTGGAATGGCGAGGTATGCTGGCGATCCTCCACCACCGGATCTCACCCAGCTGGTGGTCACTCTGTGGTACCGAGCACCAGAGCTTCTCCTCGGAGCAAGGGAATATGGCCAGGCCATTGACATGTGGAGTGTGGGCTGCATCTTCGGCGAGCTTTTGACCAAAGAACCGCTGCTGCAAGGCAAAAACGAGGTCGATGAGCTGTCAAAGGTATTCTCCATGTCAGACAGAGAGGCGCAAATGCTAATCTGGTGTCAGATATTCGAGCTGTGCGGCATCCCTACCGAAGATACCTGGCCAGGGTTCCGACGTCTCCCCAATGCGAAGTCACTTCGTCTGCCTCGCAACCCGCATACGACCGGCGCCGTTATCCGCTCGAAGTTTCCCTTCTTGACCGCCGCAGGTGCCTCTCTCCTCACTTCGCTTCTCTCTCTAAATCCGGACTCGCGCCCTTTAGCTTCCGAGGTCCTGAAGCATGCATACTTTTCGGAAAACCCAAGACCAAAATCGACGGCCATGTTTCCCACATTCCCAAGCAAGGCTGGCCAAGAGAAGAGGCGGAAAAGAGCAAGTCCACAAGCACCCCAGAGAGGAGACGCGCCGAGGATTGGAGGCGACGTGGACTTTAGTGGGATATTCTCCTCAAGAGAAGAGGGTGGGGCTGGCTTTCAACTCAAGCTGGTGTAGCCTGCGCGGTGATTTGCCCTCACTTAGTCAAATTGATTCAGTAGAATTTAGACATCTCTTGCACCATTTGATTGCAATCTGGGCCGGTATAATCTCGAAAGACCTGTTTGTGCCAGAAATTTGGCCTGCGATCCTCCGTTTACAACGTTACGGTTATGCGCGCGATCCTCTCGTCAAGAGACCCTGCACTTGACAGCAAGATGGAATCGCAGAAAAGCTGCATTGTGACGAAGGATTATTTGAAAAGGTGTACGTCGGTATAGTCGAGGGACAATAGGTGCAGTATTACGGTCGCAACGAATTCTAGCTCTGCGAGTCCCCTCCCCATAATAAGTCTCCACAGGAATGACAGCAATCTTGGTCCATCCCGCAGTTCCAGGACTCACCAATTCCTCTGATACCAACTGTTTCCTGAACCTCGAACCCCCTTTGGGCCGACGAAATTGCCACACCACAAAAATCAATGGAGTAGCCCTTCATGTCCCTACGGATGGAAAGAATTTGTCGACGTTACTTACACACCCGAACATGGCACTCGCGGGCGACAAATTTTCTCAATAGCGCCGGAAAGTGAAGGAAACAAGCAAACGTTACAGGTATGATGATTCAGAGGGGCACTTTCCGATTGGGTCTTGGATCAGGAAAACGTTATCTACAGATCGAGTGCGTCCGAGTCATTGCTTGAAACGTTCACGCATACCAGACTCGGCATGTCACTAGAAGAAAGCCGTTTCCTAGGACTCCAGATCTCCAACAAGAGGCCATGGCCGCTCCTGTTTTGAGGATTTTGCCCGTCGGTGGCAAGTAAACACCTCAACCAAATCATACAGTCTGTCGTAAAAGCGAAAGAACACATGGCAGACGCTAAAGATCTTCCACAGTAGCTGCTCAACTTGGTCGGAGAATCCAAAACCCACGCACAGAGGAAGAGACTGCTGAAGACAATCGGTACGACGGCGTCCAGAGGAGCCAACGAGATTCCCTGGCAGGGTCAGTCGTCTTGTGGAAACCGCTTCCAGGGCTGCGACACTATGGGCCTAGAGGTGAATGGAATGGCATCATCTGCGCCAACCCGACCTTGTAGTACCAGTGGGCACCGGTTCGAAATTTGATGCGGCCGATGAACTGATTTGTCGTCTGGTAACACATGTCTGAAAGATGTTGGTGCTTTGGAAGCAAACAATGGATCCAGGTGATGGGCTGCTATGTCCTGCAAATGTTCAGAATCAACTCCGCCATTCTTCGGCTTCCTTGATGGGCCGCGGCAATCCGCCACCACACCAACTGCTCCGCACGGAAATCGTAGAGCTGCCCATGACAGCATTGCTCGATACGGTCAGGACAGGACAGGCGCTCCTGAGCTCGCGATTTTACTACTTGGAGATGTTCGTCCAAATCGAGTTGGAAAGAGCAAGGATTTGTTTAGCGATGGAACTGTGCCGCCTGGTCACTATCAATAGCCAACGTATTTTGAGCCAGTCAAGTCTTTGAGATAGCCGCTGGACCCACGCCAGTCACTTCCAGTTTCCTGTCACACATTTTCCTCTTTGCCATGTCGCTTGGGGTGGAAGACATTGTTCTTCTTGTTATAAAATGCTCTGCCCTCATCCATGCGGAAACATCATTGCCAAACCACATCTCGCAACATGTCTGTTTCCATGAACAAAATGGAGCCCGAAACCGAACGTCAACCTTTAATCAATAGCAACCCAAAGTTGCAATCCTACTACCACGCGATTGAATCAAGGATTGGATATCGGTTGTTTCTTGGAGGTACCCGGCACTTTGGCTACTATGAGCAGGACACACGTTGGCCATTTCCTCTCAGTCGTTCGCTACGAGCCATGGAAGACAAAATGGCGACCTCGCTGGACCTCCCACCAGGAGCGCGAGTTCTCGACGCTGGGTGTGGAGTCGGTCATGTCGCAATCCGTCTTGCAAAGGAGCACGGGTACAGGGTGCAAGGAATCGACATTGTGGACCATCACCTGAAAAAGTCAAATCGCAACATTGCTCGTTCCGGCCTCCCTTCAGGCCAGGTGACGGTTGGCAAAATGGATTACCATCACTTGGAAAGCCTGGAGACGGAGTCATTCGACGGCATCTACACGATGGAGACGTTTGTGCATGCGACCGACCCAAAGGCGGTGCTCGCTGGCTTCTACCGTCTTCTTCGCCCTGGCGGTCGTCTGTCGCAATTCGAATATGACCACGAACTCGTCGAAAGCTCGCCCGAGGCGATGGCGGCATCAATGCGCAAGATCAACGACTTTGCCGCCATGCCGACGAATGCTCTGTCGCATCCGGGCGTATTCGAAGAGATGCTTAAGGAAGTTAGGTTCACCGACATCGTCGTCCGGGATTATTCTGAGAACATCAGGCCCATGACGAGGCTGTTCTACATACTCGCCTACCTCCCGTTCCTCATAATCACTCTTTTGGGGCTAGAGAAATATTTCATCAATACTGTGGCCGGAGTGGAATCATACCGGGGACAGGGACGCTGGCGGTACGTCGCCATTTCTGCGAGGAAGCCATCAAGCACCGCTGAGATCTCGAAGAGCGGTTGAATTGGCTTTCCTTTATTTTGAACGACGGGCACTTTCCAGGAGCTTGCAAATTCAAGGCTATCAGGCCGGGTGTTGGACGGTGTTATCATCTCAGGCGGACTCAAAAGCTCTCGTAGCGGCAGTGCAGCTTCCAGATCAGCAACTCGTCGCCAGCGGGGAAAAGAAAATAAGAAGCGATTCCATCTCATCCTTGCTTTGTTTCCATCAGCGACGCGATTTCGACCAATCATTGTGGCCCTTTTCAGAGCATGCAAGCGCAGAGCAAGACCAACCGAAGATGGAACCTTTCGCGTGCCGACTGTTGGGGTGGGGGACTGGGGAACACGAGCGCGCTTAGCAGCCGCCGGCTGTCGGCCCTTTCTCCGCCTCCACGAGCGCACAACGAAAAAATCCACTCACTTCGCGACGACCAATCAACCACGCGCAAATTTGCATTCCCTACCTGTGCATCCTGTTCATTTAATCAACATTGAACTGGAGTCGCAAGGTCATGAGGTCTCGTGCCCGTGGTGGGCAAAGGAAAAAAAAAAAAAAAAAAAGGTCCCACACCTCATCCCCAAAAACTCAACACCATCACCGCAACACCACAACACCACGATCTCTATCACGAGATGCCAAAAAGGAATGGATCCGCCGGGAATTGAACCCGGGACCTCTCCCAGCTCAGGATCCAGGTGATCGTAGACCATCCAGATGCTAAGGGAGTGTCATACCCCTAGACCACAGACCCAGTTGATGTTTTGTGGTGCTGATGGAAGAATGCTGGAAAACAATAGATATAAACAGCATTTTGATGAGCTTGTGGAGCTTCTCTCAAGCCTGCGAAGCGTGGAGAATGCGTAGAGTCGTCGAGGAAATTCTTTGTCAAGTCCGAGTCGATTGGGTTTTGGTGGCAGCGAACCAGGACGCAAGGGGGCCTCAATAGGGACGGCGCCGCTAGCCACAGCCTCACGACACCAAAGACGGCGATCAAAGATCCAAGCGACTAGACTCGGCTTGAAAGAAACTCAATCGGCCACCCAAGCGTTTCGTCCAATCTTGCTTCAGTGCAACCCCAATGCCGCTGGAAATCGATCACGATGCGAGGCTCGATGGTAAAAGCCGCCACACTTCTGCTCAAGTTCGTATCCTTTGAGGAGGTTTGTGTTCCTGTTTCTGGACTCCATTTCTTCTGGCTCATCATGCTCTCCGTTTTGTGTATCACAACTTTTGTTCCAGTACAGGGCCGAATTGAATGGTCCGTTTTGAACCATGGCTGCCAAGCAGCTTCCGATGCTACTACATGAAAGGCGAACGATGAAATGAGGCGAATTGCTCGAGTGGATCTGGATTCCGTGATATAAATTTGATTCCTGGCCGGAACTACACGTTGATTGACCTGGTTTCGAGTAGCGTGGAACTCTACGTTCTGATGTTGATGGTGATCTCGTGGGTTGTCGAACTTTGACGAAAGCGAGCACTCTGCCTTCCATTGTCTGAAGAAGTGACAGGCAACCGCACACCCTGGCTATCCGTTTCCGCATCGCTCGAATTCGAACTCGAGTCGCCGTCGGATTCTTCTTCCACCGCTGTACGTATCCCCAGTTTTCGTTCTAGAAGCTCAATAGCGCTCGTATCCCCAGACTCTCGTGCAAAATCCAACGGAGTCAGTCCAGAGTCATTTCGTGAGCTTGGATCTGCTCCTCTCTCAAGCAATTCTTGAATGATGTCTGTTTTCCCGAAATTCACAGCCAAGTGCAATGGCGTAACCCCTTCATGGTTTTTCGAGATCGGGTCAGCTCCTCTCTCAAGCAATTCATGAACGATGTCTGATTCCCCGCAATCCGTGGCCACGTGCAATGGCGTATACCCTGCATGGTTTTCCGAGTTCGGGTCAGCTCCTCTCTCAAGCAATTCCTGAATGATGTCTAGTCTCCCGAAACTTGCGGCCAAGTGCAATGGTGTAAACTCCCGGTGGTTTTTCGAGTTCGGATCAGCTCCTCTTCGCAATAGGAGTTTAACGATGTCCGCTTTCTGGCTCTGCCGTCTGTCGATCAAGTCGGGATCGCCTTTCAACGCGTCTAGTAGAGCTGTATCTCCAAAGCTCTCGTCCTTTGCATTGACATCGGCTTTATTGTCCAAGAGAAGCTTGACTATTGATGGTGCCCCCTCATATGCAGCATAAGAAAGAGGAGTGCGCCCGTCGTCATCTTTCGCATCGACGTCGACATTTCTGCGCAATAGAAGATCGACCACTTTCTCATGTTGTTTGAGGTCGTCTGAGCTTGTGTCCCTGTTTTTTACTTTTGGATCTTGATTGGCTTGAATATCCAAGAGATCCAAGAAGACCTTCCAGCCTACAAATTGAGGTTGAACAGCAACGTGGAGCGGGGTTGGCGTTTTCTTCTGCAGTTTAAGAGCTGGAACTGCACATATTAAAGCGTCGTCCGCAGAGCCCAGGCCGCTCTCTCCGAATATGTTTTGGGCCCGTGAGATGATGTCCCATTTCAAACAAAGCCCTTCTGGAGAAGAATAACCTTCCAAATCCGCAATGATGCGAAGAATTGCCATGAAAAAAGACGAGTACATGTCTTGTGCACAGAGTTTTGGAAGAGGTAGGTTTGTGGGCAGTGCCAAAACGCGCACTCTCGCAGAATTCTGGTCCTTTTGACATATGTTTCGCCAACCGAATCGCAAAGGCATTGGAATGGATTCGGTCCGTAGAGAGGACTTGTCTCTCGACCATGGTGGGTCCACTTCGTCGTTGCGGATTTTGGGTTGTCTGCTCTCTCGCCACATGTCGTATTCCATGCATTGCAGGTCGAAATCCGCATTGTCGGGAAGTTGCCAAAGAATCCGCATGCTCTGAATTTCTCGAGAGCTTTTCGTTTCTTCTGCGTATTGATTCCTTCTTCGGTATTCGTCCAATGCCAACAGTTGAAGTCCAAGCACCGCCTCCAGCTCGGGCACATCTACCTTCCAATTTCCAGAGATGCTTCCATTCCAATCGACATGGCGTTTAAGTGAGATGAAAACCTCCATCGCTCCGTCACCAGGCTTGGTAGTCTGGCCCAGCAGCTCGCACTTGATCGGCCAGTACATGGCATAAACCTCGTCCCAGTCGTCTTTGATGTCGTAAGCAGCGAAAATGAAGTCGGCAGTTCCTTCTATCGCTCTCGCTAGTGCAGCGGCAGTCTCTCGCACAGGAACCAGGGCCTCTGTCCAATGATCGGTAATTCGTGCCAGTCGACATCGATAAAGAAATGTTTTGACGGCATCATGCGGGGGCGATCCTTCTCTGGTGCTCTGGAAGTCCTTGAGCCATCCCTCTGGAAAATGATTCAGCCCGGCTTCTTCATGGTTGGTGTCTGTCGGTCGAAATCCGACCAACTGGTACTCTTCCCCGATGCAAAGCGACTTCCGGTTTTTGTCCCCAAAAAAGGCGGCCACTTGTGAATAGTCGGTCCCAACATAGGCGATCCGCCATTTACGTTGGCTTCTGGCGTCTCTTCCTAGCTGGAGTGCGAGCCAATCAAGTTCGTGGCCTTTGAAGGTGTCCGAGTCCTTGCCAATAAGATTTTGCTCGTCTTTTAACCGTTGCGTCCGGAGGCCCGCACGGACAATGCTCATCACGAGCATGACTCCCAATTGAGCTACGGACACAGACGAGTGACATGCTCTTAGCCCCAGAAATTGCAGGATGAAACCAACAATTGAGGATCCGACGGCAAGCCAGACCAAAGCTTCGACACGATTCTTTTCCATCCCATCCGGCTTCTTCTTCCATGAAGTGATGTACTCTGATGTACTCTTGTCTTTGGTGTACGCGAATGAGTCGAAAGCTTGATCGCCGATTTTCTGGTTCCCTGGTTGAATCCAGTACATCTGAGATTGGTAGTTCGTCAAATTTCCGTTTCTCTTGAACCGTCGTTCTCCAGTCGTGCTGTCCACCAATAGAGCGCATAGACCTACCCCAAAGCTCACGAGTATTGTTCCAGTGACAGTCATTGGTACAGCGTACTCCGCTGTAGGATTGCTCTGAATGAGGTGGAGGGTGTATCTTGAAAAACCGGCCCACACCAATACTCCACATTGCAGAGTAACTCCCAGGCAAGCAGCCACCAAAAACCAGGGCCTAGGACGCTCCTGAATTCCGACGTTGAGAGAGAGATTTGGATTTGGCGCAAAGTCTTTCGTGTGTTGCGTTTCGGTACCGTCTTCCACAGTGTTTTTGCCTCTCCTCGTGCCTTTTTCGGTCCACTCTGATTCTTTCCTGAGATTGTTGAAATAGTCCCTCGGCAGATGGATTCCCGCACTTGCTTTTTTGAAATAGTTTGGATAAAAGTCCTCTTTCAGTGCTTCAGGATCAAAGATGATTTCGAGGAGTTTCGGGGTGCCAAAGACACGAGCGATGCCTCCGTTGTTGTACAATTCACCAACGTTCCGGCTGGTAGAAGAACAGAGCTCGACTTCCGCATTTCCTTCTCCTTCCTGTGCTCGCCCAATGAAAGCCCGTAGAGACGGTGACCCGCAGACACGAATCGCTGACACGACCGCAGTTAGAATTCCAATAGGCGCCATTGCGAAAATGACAATGTCTTCCGGCATTGTTGTTTCGCTAAGGTACTGTTTTGTCGGCGCTTCTCCAAAGAGCGCGATGAGGGGACCAAGGTCCGTGGCAAGATTGTTGGCGAAGTCATCCCACCAACCCATATTCAAGCAAGACTCCCTAGATCTCAATGTTGGAGAATTTAAAAGGTTTCTCTGAATGATGGCCGTCGACAGTTATGCGCAAAGACATCAGTGAAGGCGCTTAAAGCGTTGGTTAAGGTCAAACCAATCTATTCCGTCGGTGGGGATTCATGCACTGTGATATTCACGCATGCAGACTTCTTGCGGCGCCGTCCTATCATTTCGGCCCCAAAGGAGATCATGGCAGTTAGAGGTCAGTTGCCGAAGCCACACGCATTTTTGGGCATGACAAAGCATCGCCAACGCTGATGTGGTCGCTCATCACTGATTCCAGGGGTGCTTAGCCTATTTGAGTCAATAAAGTTGGGGCTGAGCATCATGTCCGATTCTCTCCAGCCTAGATCAGGACCCAAGGCGCGAATTTGTGGCCCTTTTCGATCGAAAGCCCGTGCGCTGAAGCTCTCTGGTGGTGAAATCGTCGACGGTCGAAGTTCAAGGATCAAATGGCGTTTGTTTCGAATTTGAATGGTGATGAAGATGTTGTAGGGAAAAGACGATAGATGGGGCTTTGCGCATATTTTCTCGACGCAGCGCCTGCCCGTTCTGGCGCCATCTCATTTGCCTCCATGACTACACCCGACGCTGGTTTCGTCTTTCCCCATCCGCATTTTTTCCTACTCTTTGAACTCAACCAATTCACTCCGCATCCCAAGCTCTTTTACACCGGCAGGTATTTCCAGCCATTATTCGCTCCTCTGGCTTACGGAACAGCCTGCCATCGTTTTAGGCGGCGCGGTTGTTGATTGCTTGACTGGTGCGTGCCTTGCTGAGTAGAAAACTGGCCTCAAGGTTACAAAAGAGCCACTCAAATCTCCACTCCTCGCTCTCCACGGTACAGAGCCAGACTGATAGCTCTGACCGGCATGCCCTCAACTAGAGAAGGTCGAATGCGGTACGTACCAACCGAGCTCCGTTACCCCAGATCTCAACTCAGCCTCAGGTCCTGACTCACGAATCCAATGCCAGACTTCACACAGAGCCTTTGCAACAGGTCGGCAC